TATACACCATCATTTGTAGATGCTAAAACTTTCACGCAAAACAATTAATATATACAGTTTGGGATTTTTTTTTTTTTTAACCAAAGACATGTAGCAGAATACATTTTGACCTAAATGTATGAAAAAAAATAAATGCTTTTCTTATTTTTTATTGGATATGTTTTTATACCAAAAAGTAAAAAAATATAGTTTTTTTTTCTAAAACATTTTTTTCTTTATAGAGCAAAAAATTAAAAAAGTGTGGCGATCAAAATAGCACTAAAATAAAGCTCTATTTGTGTGAAAAAAATTATATAAATTTAATTTGCGCACAGTGTTGCATGATTGTGCAATTCTCAGTTAAATAGAACCGTATAGCAAAAAATGGCCTGGTCATGAATGGGGGTAAATCTTCTGGAAGGCAAGTGGTTAATCTCAAACCATGCAGGAATTATTAGTAGTGTTGATATTAAGGAACATCTGGGTAGCAGTGACTATAAACATGAGTTCATTTAACCACTGGAACCTGGAAGGTTTTTATGAGCAGACCATTGTTTTGCTATTCTGCACTGTGCTACTTTAACTGGCAATTGATTGGTCATGCAACACTGTACACAAATAAAATGAATGTCATTTTTTTCAACACAAATAGCACTTTCTTTTGGTGGCATTTGATCATCACTGTGTTTTTTTTTCTTTGTAATATAAGTGAATAAAAGACCAAAAATGTTGAAAAAAATATTTTTTACTTCCTGCTACAAAACCTATCCAATAAAAAATTAAAAAAATCTAATTTCTTCATAAATTTTGACCAAAATATATTCTGCTTTCTTTGGTGATATTTGATCGGCACTGTTTTTGATATAATCTTTTATTATCTAAATGGAAAAAGACAAAACATTTTCACAATAAAAAAACAATATTTTCTACTTTCTATTTTAAAACATATGCAATAAAAGAACTCCTAACCTTCTGGAGGCCTCTATACTTTCACAATCATACTCAGACCATGCTCTGCCACCATCCCAATGCACTGGACAAGACAGCCCATCTGATCTAGTGCCTCAGCTTACTCCTGCTTACCTATAAGTCCAATGCTAAGTTTATCAAAACCACATTTTTTCATTACGTGACAACAGGCACACAGCCTTTCTCTCTGTGAGACACATAAATGCACCCTCAGGGGTGTTTTTATCTTTCTGAGCAGCAGACTTAAAAAGCTACAAGCCAAGCATATTGATATGCTTGCAAGAAAATTGTCTATTGCTTATTTAAAACAATTACACAAAAAATCCCTAGCATCTTCCCATACACCTGAATTAGTTTAGGTTCACAAAAACCATTGACTTTATTGGAATTTAAAGCAAGGCATAATAACTACCTTTAATCCAAAATATATTACATATATGATAATAAATGTACTAAGTCCTAGAGAACAACAAACTGCCAACCATTTTGCAGAAGTCCACAGCAGTACTATCAAGACACACATTTCTTTTGCTGCCATAGCAAAACAACAATTCCACCTACTACTCCTCTAAACTTTACAATGTACCTCACCCCCCCCCCCCCCCAGCACACACACACACAAAACTCTCCCAGGTGATCTATTCTCCAACTATTTTTCCAAAAACCCCAGTACACTCTATCACTGGAGTTCCCTCTATCCAAAGAGGAATTTGTACATGCTTTTTTTTTTTACATTAAGCTTTTATTTGATTTTTAATACAAAAGGAACATCAAGACAATTACAGAAATATTTCACATATACATATTCCATTTACCCCATTATTAAAGCTTTTGATAGAAATCACCAAAAATGTAGGCCATCCGTTGAGGACAAAACATGGGAGTGCCATCTGTTTGAAACAAAAATTCAGGGACAGTACTAGTCGAGTTTGCCTTCAATTTTTTAACCAACAATCTATGTGGTTTATTAGCATATTGATAGAATCTCTGTTTCAACCACAACAATCCTTTTGCTGTAGAACTAGCCTTTAGCATTTTAAGTTGATCCTTAAGTTGTATAACTAACCTTAGTTTAGAGGTAGACGGTGACTCTATATGTTTTTTTTTCTGCCTGGGATAATTGTTGCATGAGATCCATTTTCTGATGGATCGAAAGTTTTTTAAGACGGGAGCTTTCCATTAAAAAATGACCTCTAATGAATGCTTTATGGGCCTCCCATAAAGTTGAGGATTTAGGTGTCAAGCCAGTATTAAGTTAAAAAAATTTACTCAATGTCTCTGATATGGAGGTGTTGATGTCTGCCTGACGCAAAAGAGTGTCATTCAAATGCCAATGGCATGTTCGGGAATTTTTTTGATTGATGAGTAAGTCCAAGGCCAAAAAAGAATGGTCGGACCAGGAGCTGTTAACAATAGCAGAGTCAATCGTCTGTTTAAGCATGAATATGAGTTTCCTTTTTTAAAATGGGTTTTTTGTACAAGAATAATATCAGCCTTAGAGTGGCAAAATCCCCTAAGGGCCATCCACCTCTTCCTCATCGAATTCAAACCTTTAATATTACAGTAATATAATCGTAAAGACGTGATATTTTGCAAACTGAGCAAATACATGCAGGTCAATAGAACAGATAGATCATGCTGCATTACCAAAGTATAGAAAATAAAACATTGATTTAAAGAAGCAGATTCAAGACACTGTGATAAAAGTGCCAAATACAGAGCAAATAGATCCAAGGAGGATCTGTATGTCCAACAATGAACCCAAATATGGAAGAGGCCCAAGTAACAGGAGAAACTCAGGCATCTACAGCAGTAGCCATAGATTTCTGGGGGTGACATATGGAGAATGAGTTCCTGAAGGTGTCTTCCCGCCTCACTTCCAAAATGAACTAAAATCCACAATGGTAAAATTAACCTTTGAGTCGTCCCATCGAGCATGAAGGGATCCCAATAGGAAGCCGGGTATATCCTAGTAAGAATATGAAAAAGAGATGAAAAAAAAAAGGGCAGCTATGTCCGTAGACAATAGTGATTACCAGCCACGCTGTGAACTGACATCAGGTTGCAAAGAATATCGGCGAAGCAGAAGATCGCTGTGGGATTGGTTGGCATGCTTTGTTTCTTGATTTTGCCTAGGTCCAGATCTTGCTAGGAGTATTGGCAGCCCTAGGCTTAGATATAGACAGCGTTAAGGCTTCATCTGGGAGGGGAGGTAGGCCCAGGTTATGCAGAAATGTCTCTCCTTCCTGAAGATCCCTGATGACATGTTGAGTCCCATCTTTAGTTACTGTTAATTTGAAAGGGAACCCCCATCTGTATATGGTGCTGTGCTTGTGAAGATGGAGAGTAATCGGCAGAAGCAAGCACCTCCTAGATAGCGTAATTGGAGACAGATCACTGTAAATTAGAATTTTCCTCTTTGAAATCTACCGAGGCTGTATTATTATTATTATTATTATACAGTATTTATATTGCCCCAAAAGGTTTGCTCAGCACTGTACATTCGAGTGGGGGACAGTACATGAGACAATACAGTAACAAAACAATACACGAGGGGTCCGAGGGCCCTGCTCTTTCGAGCTTACAATCTAGGATTATATGTAGAATTCAGCAGGGACTCCTTTCTGTCGTAATAATGAAACCGGACAATAATGTCCCATGGTCTTGCTCAATGGTGGTTTTGGGGCAAAGGAGCTGTTAGCTCTATCCATACGCCAATCTATGTCCAATACCACTGTGGCTAAAGCGGTGAGTAAGCCACATAGATAATCTGGCAGATCAGTATCCCCTGTAGATTCAGGGACGCCACGTATACAGAGATTCTGTCTCCTCTCCCTGTTCTCCAGATCTTCTTACTATGATTGCAGCTGAGAAACCTGTTGCTTTATGGTATGGTTATCTTCTTCTAGCATGTGTACATACTGCACTAGGTCATCAAATTTGGTTTCTAGATGATCTGCTCTTTCTTCTACCAGTGCTATCTCCCCTCTTGTGCTGTTTTCCCCACTGCTGTAGAAATTGTATGAGATATATTCTACAGCAGAGCATGTAACTTAGCATCCAAGATATCCGCAGTAAGATAAGGGATGGGAGAAGAGAGAGACACAGCAGTATGATGTGTTACCTCAGCAATGCGGCCTGCCAACTCATCCGGTTATGCCGCTGGGTGAGCGTGATCACTTGAGGCCGGGGATGCGGCATGAGATATGAATTTATCCATGTGTGTAGGCCGCTGGTGTTTGGCGGGCGAAGGAGGATAACTTTGGTGCCCAATTTTACCCATTGGGATCAGCAGATGACGCTGAGTCTGATGCTGGTGCTCCTCTGGTGCAGTTAGCTATCGTTTACACCGGGGAGCAGGAAGAGAGAACCGTAATGCGGAGCGGTGTTAGTATGCGACCGCCATCTTCAGCCTTCGCACATGCGCCTAGTGTCTATATTTAATAATGATATAGGCCTATAAATGGCAAACTGTGAGCTATCCATCCTTTCTTTTAGAATAATTGTTATGTAAGTTTCTAGTGACTCCTCCCTCATTTATAACCCCTCCCCTAGTGCATTCATATATCTACACATTTTAGGGACAAGAAGATCTCTAATTTTTTTTTAAATATCCCACTGTAAATATCCCATTGCCCTGGGCTTTTATCTCCAGCCGTATTCTTTCACTTGCCTACCGGGCACTTATACCCCCTTCTTTACCAGGCCAATTTTCAGCTTTCAGCACTGTCGCACTTTGATTGACAATTGTGCGGTTATGCAAGATTGTACCTATATGAAATTTTTAACATTTTTTTCTCACAGATAGAGCTTTCTTTAGGTGGTATTTACTTGTCACTGGGTGTTTTACTTTTTGTGCTTTAAACAAAAAAAGTGCAAAAAATTTGAAAAAAAAAAAAGTTTCTTTGTTTCTATTATAACATTTTGCAAACAGGTAATTTTTCTCCTTCACTGATGTGCGTTGATGTGGCAGCACTGATGGGCACTGATAGGCAGCACTGATGGGCACTGATAAGCAGCACTGATGTGCACTGATAGGCAGCACTGAAGGGCACTGATAGGCGGCACTGATAGGCAGCACTAATGAGGTGGCACGGACAGGCGGCACTGATAGGTGGCACTAATAGGCGGTACTGATGATGGGTACTGATAGACAGCACTGATAGGTGGCACTGACTGGCATGACTGCTGGGCACTGACTGGCGGCACTGCTAGGTATTGACTGGCGGCACTGCTAGGCATTGACTGGTGCAACTGCTGGGCACTGACTGGCACAACCGCTGGGCACTGACTGGTGGCACTGACTGGCAGCACTTCTGGGCTGCACTGATGGGCACTGGTTGGTGGCACTGGTGGGCACAGGTTGGTGGCACTGGTGGGCACAGGTGGGTGGGCACAGGTGGGTGGCACTGCTGGGCACAGGTAGGTGGCACTTCTGGATGGCACTGCTGGTCACAGGTGTGTGGCACTGCTGGGTGACACTGGTGGGCACTGCTGGTCACAGGTGGGTGCACTGCTGGGCACAAGTGGGCGGAACTGGTGGGTGGCACTGCTGGGCACAAGTGGGCAGAACTGGTGGGTGGCACTGCTGGGCACCGATCATTAGGGCACTGATCATCAGTGTCCTGATGATCGGTGCCGATCCCTGCTCTAAAAACTGCTGGTTCTCGGCAGTACTTTCCTCACGATCTGACAGTGTGAGGAAAGTGCAACCGAGAACCGGCAATTGCATTTCCCGGTGATCAGCGTGTCATTGGACACGGCTGATCACGTGGTAAAAGGCCGCTGTGATTGGCCTTTTACCATATCACGTGATCAGCTGTGTCCGTAGGACACAACAATCACGGAGATCGCCGGGAGCGCATTCTGGGAGGACGTCATATGACGCCCTCCCAGAACTGGCCAGCCGCAGTGTAGCCGTCATTCAGCTATCTGCGGTCGGCAACTGGTTAAGGATAAGTTAATTTCCTCTGGGGTGAAAGGTCTCTTGAGGGTCTCTAGTTTTTCTTGTGCTAATTGTGGCAACTCCACCTCACATAAATACTTCTGTATAATTCTTTTCCTCTTCCATATCCTTTTGTTCACTACAGCTCACATCATAAAGTTCACTATAATATTTTTGAAACCTCGTAGCAATATCAAAAGGTAGCATACGCTAATTCTCCTTTCCTATCTCTATTTTTTTCTATAAAATTTTTAGATTTTTTGCTTTTTAACCTTCTCGTTAAGTATTTTCCAGGTCTATTCCCCCACTGGTATCTTTCCTTTGAACCCCTATTAAATATCATCCACTACTCTTGTTCCATCAGATCTTTTAACTCATCTCTTTTAGGTATTATCTTCTGATATACATCTATTCCATTCTTTTTTTATGTAGTTGTTCCAACTTATAAAGTTCTTCTGTCACCATCTTTATTTTTTTTCTTCATTCCTTCTTCTTTTCTGTTCCTATAGAGATCAATATTCCCTGATGTAGGCTTTATGTGTCTCCCAGACTGTGTCCACTGAAACCTCATTGGTCTCATTGAGCTCAAAACATTGTTCAATCTCCAGCCTTAACCTCTTCTCTATATTGGGGTCCTGTACGAGCATTTCATTTAATCTCCATATAGTTGTTTTATCTTGACCTCCTACTTGTAGTCTCATCGTGGGAGAATGATCAGAAATGGATATGACCTCAATCTCCTAGATTGTAAGCTCGAAAGAGCAGGGCCCTCGATCCCCTCATGTTTTGCATTGTATTGGTATTGTTCTGTCACATGTTCTGTCCCCCTTTGTAATGTACAGCGCTGAGTGAACTATTGGCGCTTTATAAATACTGTATAATAATAATAATAATAATAATAATGTTGGAACTAACCATTGACTCCAACTGTATATGCTCTTTCATTATATAGTCCAGTCTTGAATACGAACCATGCACATGAGAGAAGAAGGTATAATCTCTTTCTCTTGGATGCTTCACTCTCCACACATCCGCCAGTTGAAATTTATATAGTAACTTCTTCAATAATTTCAATTTCCTACCCTCTTCTCTCTGTGTACATAATGATGCAAACAGCTGAGGGTCCAAATACAGATTGAAATCTCCGGCCACAACCAGACTTTCCTTTTTAAATTCACAGAGTTTCCTTAGCACCCCCTTTAAGAATATCTAAAAGGAATTCCTTTCAGACTTCTATCAGCTACATGACAATATCACTCAGTTTTTGTTTGGACAATAAATATTAGCTAGTGTATATTCCAATCCTTGTAACTTTCCTCTGAGAAACAGAAACCAACCCTCTGGATCTTCCAGTCTACCTTTCAGGGAAAAATTATTTGAGAGCCCGATTGAAACTCATTTGGCCCCTTTAACTGTTGAGTCAGCATAATACCACACTGGATAACACTTTGAGTATAATTTAACATTTGTATCTCGAGTTAAATGAGTTTCTTGAAGAAATGCTACTTCTATAGAGTATTGATGGATTTATCTTAGTATCTTATGTGTTTTTTGGGGGCGTTCAGCCCTTTCGGATTGTAGGTCTTAAACTTAATCAAACTTATTTCTACTATAGTTACGTTGACCTACTGGCTTTCCTTTAGGAGAAAGCTGATACAGATAGTTTAGGATATGGACCTCACCCGCCCACCCCAACTTCACCCCTCCTGGCCTACATTTAGCCTTGGAATCTGATGAGGGAGCCCCCTACTGGCGATTCCTAATTTTGGCTGAAGCTCGAAACATGAATGCCTACCCTTCTCCTGGATCAATGTCATTCCTAGGTTACAGGAGGCAATATGTTTGGCCTCCGTACCACCCGCCCACTCCCCAATCTCCATACCCCCCCTCCTCCCCACTTACTCAAAACTTGGGGAAGAAGGCAGATAAGGGACATGGGAACCATATTGCGGCCGGGTAAGGCCACATCCTCCTATTTCCTCTTCCAGGGTATCAAGTCGTTCAATTCTTCTGGGAATCTCAACCTCGCTTATCTTCATTCTTTCCACCCGATTAAAAATGCTGGAATCCCTAGTTATATTGAACTTTTTTCTCTTTCATATGGTTCAGCAATGGTTTCAAGGATCTCCTCCTCGCCAACGTCTCTGGGGAAATGTCTGCAAAAGTATGTAGGGTTGTTTCTTCATAGTTTATTTCAGTGCAGTCCTGCAACCCTTTCCATATTCATTCTCTCTATCTCCTAAGTTATGGAACCTAATAATCATATCTTTGGGGCTTTCTGCTGAAATTCCTTTTGGCCATCTAACCCTATGCACTCTCTCGATTTTCAATTTGTCTGTCACTGGTTTCCCAAAATTGGGTTGCAGATTCTCTTTATTTTCTCCAGTAAATCCTCTTCCTGTCCTATTTCTTCTGGTAGTCCTCTGATCCTTAAATTGTTCCTTCTGTTGTGGTTCTCCTGATCTTCTATTTTAAATAATAATTCTCTCTGTTCTTTCCGCATCTCCTCCACCTGCAATTCCAGATTATTGATTTGTTGTGCATATCCCTCCATTTTTCCCTCTTTCATGGCCATCTCTAATTTTGCAAAGATTTCTGCCAGTTCATTTTTTAAAAGTAATTGGGACATGAGTCCTTGTTGTTCCATATTTCCTTGTTCTCCTGCATTTTCCATATTTGATCTTTCTTTATCTTGGTTCTCTTCTACAGTTTCAAATGACAATCTAGATTGATCTCCACCAGATTTTGTTGGTCTTTCATAGTGGTTCTCTTGGGTTTGTGACTCAGGGCTTTTTTCCTGTGAAGGCAAGTACTTTCTTATAGTTCTAGTATTTGCACTTGATTGGGGGGGGTTAGATCCCCCCCCCTTTAGTTGGTCTATTCCTCATTTTTTCTAAGACTTTTCTGTTTGTTTTCCTCTTGATCTGAATATGAGAAACACTGCACCCAAGACAGCCCTCTTTTCCTTTCACTATAAACCCCAGACAGTCTCTTTATTCTTTGGAGTGATCAGTACTAGATGATATACAATTCATAATGATGAATGGCCCCTCCGGTCCCCAAGACTACCGGACCCCCAGTCTTGTTCTTCTTTTTCCACACAGCAATCACTCTGTATATTAGTATACTGTGAAAAAGCAACAGTTCTTAGGGATGTTTTTAATGTTTTTAACCCACAAATTGCAGCAACTCACCATCCGCTTTCGTGCTGCTTGTATGTTGCTGTTCAGCCGATCTTGATCCACAGTATTCTCTGCACTTCACACGCTGAAGGGATGCCCCTCGAGTCAGGGGTCTTGTGGCCACTGATGGTGTCACCCGAGGTGGGGCTTGGAGAAGATATTGTGGGTGATGAGGGGGAACTGTAGGGCTCTCTCAGTAAAGGAGCCACCTACTCCAGTTTCCTACTGCTACTTACTTCCCTGCTACTTCCGGGTTGCAGTGCTCCCGTTGCTCAGGCAGTCTCTGGGAACCTTCAATTCTTTCTGTCCTCCAGGGGTCCTCACCTCCTCTCCGACTTTCTGCTCTCGATCTCCGCCAGTCTCCTGCTGCCTCGTGGGACCCTGGGGACCGGACAGGGACACCGTTTCAGCACCTCCGTCGCACTGGCTCCCAACAAAGCACCAGCCAGGGGATACTCATCCTCTGGGCACACTCAACACCAGGGCCCAGATAGACACCCTTCAACCTAGGGCACGTAAAGCATGGGAACAGACAGGCGTTCAGAGATCCTCAGCCATGCCTCATGGTGCCATGATTTGGCTCCTCTCCCTTAAGATTCACGGTGAGAGAAGTGATATTTGTACAGGCTTTAACTCAGATGATGGCTGGGAGAAGCTTTAGCTCTAGGGGGTACATCACTGAGTATTATAAAACTTTCTCTTTCATTCTGGTAGATTATTTCATTAAAGCCTTCATCTCATTTATTTATTTCTTCCCCAGTCCCTACTAGAAGGCCATATTTTCCTCAACCTAAAGACCTACTTCTTGAACTAACTATAGGCCCATTTCATTGAGCTTAAATTTTTCACAAATTAATAACCAGTTGCTTGTTGTCTTTCATTTATTTTTTTACCAGGTAGCCTTTCATACCTTGCCTAAGTTCTCGAACAAGCAGGTTTTACCCCAGGTAGAGAGGCACTTGATAATACAGTAAGATAATACAGATAATACTATGATAATCATATCAATACGCCCTATGTTTTACGAAACATCGAACATTGAAGGCCTTTTCCTGTTCACTGGCATGGAGAAGTCCTTTGATAGGTGTGTCTGGAATTTTATGGAACAGTATCTTCTCACTATAGAAATGTTCTACTCACAAACACATGACATGCATTAGCATATAAAAAGATGCAGACAAGAACGCCGCCAGGTCCACGATGCTCAGACGATAGTATGGGAAGTCCTCACAGCATCCTAAGGCTTACACGTTTTGAGGGTTGAACCCTATTCTTTAGAGCCCTTTTTTCAACCCTTCAAATGAATAAGCCTTAGGACGCTATGAGGACTTACCCTACTACTAGCTGAACACCTTGGACCTGGAGGCAGTCTCCTCTGCATCCTTTTACTGTATATGCTAATGCACGTCATGTGTTTGTGAATAAAATATTTTTATACTTTAAATAAATTGTTATTTTGCTAATGTGGTACACCCTCTTTTTGTTGTGGTTTTCAGTATATGCGAGGACGCCCACAGTTCTGTGAGGGCAGCAAGACCTTTGGTGCCATACGACAAGTCAGCCAAGCAGACAGTCCTACACATCTGTAGAACCACACACAAGCGCAGGAGCTTATTAATA